TGTTTCAATTAATTTCTTTACATTTACCTTAACTCCTTGTCATTTCCATCACCTCACACATTTTTAAGAAACATTTAAAAAGTTCTCATCACACATTAAAAATGTATCCACAATTTATGAGCTTGTGCTCTACTTAATATAAAGAGTCAAGGTATCTATTTTCTAATAAGCTCTTACCCAAACCGATATTACATTTGAGAGTGTGACAGCTGTACAGTTCAGCCTTTGGTGCTCGGGGCAGTTCATTTATCTCAGTGACAGATCTATAATTATTGTACACTGTGGAAAAACTGCTAAAACTAGCTACAAAAATGATCTTAGACAATTCTTGAGTGGCATAAGTTATTCTATTTCTAAATAACAGCTGTATATTGAGATGTGGTGGAAATGACATTCGTTCATTGCAGGTTGGAAAAAATTTAAAATATTAACAATTTCTCTTGTAATCTAAGTTTGTCCTCTTACAGACCGTAAAACTAGACAAATTATTTAAACCTATGAGACTGTGTTACGTGACTTTTGAACAAGTTTTTTTTATTCAACTTCACAAGGATAAAAGTGCCCCTAGTTGAAGAAAAGCCCTTGTATATTGTGATTGGTCTTTCAGATTTTGGTAGTGCTTTTTTATTTGTGCAAAGAAATGAATATTATATTCATAAATAGAAATGTGCGAAATGCATACCAAAATGTAATTTATTTTTATTAGAAAGGGAATCTTTGAAAAAGTATCTAATGCAAATGAATAACAAAAAGAATGACACACTGTTAGATTTCATGGAGGATGTATTTATTTTCTGGTATAGCTCCGGCGCTGTAGTCCTTGATTGTGTCCGAAGGAAAAAAGAAGAAAACTTAAACTATTGTTTAGTTGTTTATATGTTTTTCTCTCTCTCTCTTCTTTTAAATGACCTACAGATTAAGATTGTTCTTCTTTTTTCTGTGTATCTGGATTTACTTTCAATAATTCAATAATTTCTGCATAAAAAACAAACAAAGCTTCATTCCTCATCTTCCTGTCAGGCCAAATGCGTGGCAAATATAATGTGATCATGCTAATACTACATGAAGAAAACGAAGCTTGCTATTATTATAATTGATTATGACGTAATTTTCATGACAAATTAGTACATTTCCCCATATTCTTATTAAATGAATACAAAATCAATATTAACAAACAATGACCAATGTTTTAATCGTGTTTCCCCTGACGTTACTTAAAATCACTGTTGATCAGGTTTCTTGCATATCTTTCACGAGCATGTCCTCTCTGTCTCTCTGAGCTGAGAAATAAGCAGGCTGTTTCTGCCTGACACTGCATCCACCAGAGAGTCATGATCAGCTACATATCTCATCAGTGGAGATGAAACCCTTGCAGAGAGAGAGAGAGACAGCAGCGTATCATCAGGAGCATCACTTTATTCTGTCCTGAATCACCTCCGTTCACGGCCAGGACCTTTAAAGTGCAGTCATTTTCACAGCTTCAGTAAAAACATGAAATCACAGGAAACCATGAACATCAACCTGAACACGGAAACGTGGAACATATAAATATGTAGAGAACAAAAGGAAACAGGTAAGCGATGATGACATTAACTCATCCGGCTCCAATCACACGAGTCGTTGGCAAGGCTAGCATTAAACAAAGGCACAGCAATAAGACCATGGCTTCCAGAAGAAGCTGCAGCACTTCCTCAGCACTTTCTCACTGATGCGGATGAGTGTGTGAACAGATATGACGTGCTCTTTCTGAGCGTGTCCAGCCGCAGACTCACCACAGAAACACTAACAATGCACTCATCATCAACTCTCTGTAATGGCTTTCATAGTAATATGGCTTTTTGTTAACGGCAATACTGAGATTGTTGTTATCCAATATGATCAACAGGGCTCCAACATTAAAGGGTTAGTTCACCCAAAAATGAAAGTTCTGTCATTAATTACTCACCTTCACTCAGACCTTCGTTCATCTTCAGAACACAAATTAAGATATCTGTGCTGCATCCCGAGAGCTCTCTGACCCTCCGTAGACAGCAAGTGTCCTTACATGATCAAGATCCAGAAACGTAGCAAGGAGATCGATACGAAGATGAACGAAGGTCTTACAGGTTTGGAAGTTTTCATTTTTGGGTGAACTATCCTATTAATAAAGCAAGTGTGTTTGTCTGTAAGGAACGCAGTAACTGGCTTGAGGTCAGCTAGACTGATGCACACCGTATTAACCAGCAGCCAAATATCTGTTTAGACTGTCAGAATCACACTGATAGTGAACACCGTCATTTAACAGCAGCTTTGATGAGGTGCTTTATATTAGTAACTGCACTGGGATCAGAGGCGTCGTGCACCTGCTGCTCGGGGCCCGGGGCCCGCGGCTCCATCAGTGAAGTGCATTCATACAGTCACCAAACCAAAGAAGCAGCCGCTTTCACACGTAGTGCAAATCAAAGCATTTCAACAGTTTAGAAAAGAGAAAATAGTGGTTCTATTCAAGAAGAGCAAAGAAGAGGCTGTTTTTACTTTTTTCCGTCTGTACACGTGCTTTCCTGGAGGTCCTCCTTTGTGTTTTCTTAATAACATCTGTTGATCTTTACGAGAACAGCTGGATCAGTAGTAGAGCACGTGACCGTGACACATGCAGCACATCCAGAGAAGATATTTACACCAGCGGTGTTGTGTAAAGCTGAAGCTCCCACACACACTACACACACACTACACACACACTCACACATACACATACATACACACACACACACACACTCACAAACACACACTCACACACACAAACACACTCAAACTCACACACACACACACACACACACACACACACACTCACACTCACACACACACACACACACACACAGTCACTCACACACACACTCACACACACTCAGTGAGGATCGACCCTGACACGGTCTGAAATCTTCAAACACAGGCCTGGGAACAAACTCCTCCAGATCAGTCCAACAGCACCGAGCGCTCCGATCGGCTGAGATCACAGCACACCACAGGAAGTCCTGTCAGCTCGACGAGATTCATCCCCAAATCAAAAGAAAGAAATCAGAAATCCAATTTTGCACAATAACACGAAGCCTGTGAAGATCTTTGAGAGAAATCACCATAAAATACATTCATTACAACAAATACTAACGTGATGCATATTTACTTTACAATTTAAATTCTAAATCATCATTAAAAGAAAAGGCTTCATTGTTTTATGCAAAACACATATATACATGTATTTTTGATTTGGGGGTCAGAGGAGAGTCAGTCCCTTAATTTGACCCATGAAGCTTAGAGTTGACCTGTATGACGTTTCACGTGTCGGACAGTTCATTATTGTCCTGATCTTCTCATGAGGACTTGCATTTCAGCAAACATCCAGATGAAAGTACGCCAATGCGCGATCACTATACAAAACCATGTCTGCACATTTACAATATAACTCTGTTTACACTGCGGGAAATGCCTGGCACGAGGACTATTAGCGCGATGTACCGAACGAAAACACTGCTGACGCGCGAGTCTCGTGTGTTCTGCTGCGTTCACATCTCATCGAGCTTCATCATCGCACCGTAAGCCACAGCAGACATGCACTGAGCGCCCGTGCTGTTACTCTGGGTGCGTGTGGAGGCCGTTCTTGCTGCTGGAGTGTTTCCGGCAGAAGTCCTGATGAATGAGCTCCAGCTCGGACACCAGATGAAGGCCCATCTCCAGGTGCATCTTCAGGTTCTCCAGCCACGACTCCAGCTTCACAAACGCAGGCCTGCGCAGAGAGCACACACGGCTATCAGCACTGTTTCACTCTTCTGTTATTTTAGCTTTGTCAAATCAACCGTAATTGCTTAAAAATAACTATCAGTTATCTAAATTTTGTTTATAGGGCTGTCGATTTAACATGTTTCTAGGAACACACTATATTATCGGAAAGATTATCGGAATCTGCCGATAAAGGCTTCAAATGTAAACATCGGTATCAGCCAATTTGAAAACAGTATGCAGATATGTCTTGCTGATAAGACGGATAGCTCACATGTGCTCAGGGTGTGCTAGCGATCAGATCAGATCACCTCAGCAGCGTGGCTCATTCTGGAAGCACAGTTTTGCCTGAATGGTGATTAGATTCACTGTTTTGCATCGCTGCATTTAATCTGAGAATGCAGTACAGAACGACGCGTCCGCTGTGCGAGAGAGTCCACTCGTCCGGTAAAGTGTTTTATTTACTGAGGGGATGCTGTTGGCCTACTTGTAATAACATGAAAGTAAAATACACAAATAACATGGCACTTGTAAATTAAATAATTTAATGTATACAGATTTATTCAGTGGGATGTAATATATTTTTTCAAACGGATTATGAAAAATTAAATATAAGGAGCTCTAAAAGATTTTTTTAGAATTTGTACAGCTCTTTTGCTTTAGACCATCTATTAATGTTTTTGCTCAAAATATAAAATAATAGCTTCCACACAGGAGAGACTGTTTCAGTGGTGTTACAAAACAAAGGGAAATGTATATCAGTATAGCCATTGGCTATCGGCTAAAATGATTTGAAAAATATCGGTATATCTAATATCGGCAAAATCTAATATCGTGCATCCCTGACACGTTCATTTCGTGCGATTAATATGACGATGCAGGACGACTGACTGACTGTGTGTTGGAGTTAATCAGAATGCTGTTATATGAACCACAAATCCCACAAATGAGGGCAAAAAATGCTCTTCCTCTTATATTTATATCACATGGTAGGTTTAGTAATATCACACCAGCAAGAGTGCTGATTCCCCGATATCTGCATCACTGCAAATGTGACATTGATTTATATTGTCAATATTGCTGCAAACAAAATATTACTATAAAGTCACAGCAGAACACACAGTGGTGATTCGTTACTGAATGAATACATGTTTTTAACAAATCAAGTCAATGATTCAGTAATTCATTCATTAAGACAGTAACGTGCTCCATTTCTGAGTTAATCACTTGAATGAATGACTCAATGACTCACTCGTTAAGTGCCTCGCTGCCACCTACTGGCAGTTTTAGTTTCACATTTAGATTATCATTTCATTTTCTTTTAATTATTTCATATTTCAATATTTATGTATTTATTTTTATAAACCCCATTGATACCCATTTGTTATCATTGTTTATGCAATGCTGAATCAAAATATTTCTTTCTCAAGCTACCTTTTTGTAATGTCTGTACAATGCTTTTCTGATGTAACAATGATATTAAATAGTTCTGTCGAACGATTAATCACATCCAAAATAAAAGTTTTTGTTTACATGATATATGTGTGTGTTCTGTGTATATTTATTATGTGTATATAAATACACACACATGCATGTCTATATTTAAGAAAAATATGTTATGTTTATATATTAAATATATTTATATATAATATAAAATATAAGAATATGAATATATAAATGTATAAACGTAAATATTTTCAAAATATATACAGTACGTCTGTGTATTTATATATACATAATAAATATAAACAGGACACATACACATATAATGTAAACAAAAACTTTTATTTTGGATGCAATTAATCACGATTAATCATTTGACAGCACTAATTTTAAATGATCTTTTGATCTTTTTTTCAGACGAAATTGATGTGTGATTAATTTGCAGTTAATTAATCAGCACATCATGTAATTAATTAGATTAAGAATTTGAATCACTTGACAGCCCTAATAGTTTATATGCATGTCCTGATGCACATGTTTGGATTGTCTAACCGTTTCTCAGCGTCCAGATCGCAGCAGAGCGCCGCCATGGGGAAGAAAGCGGTCGGGCAGTCAGGCGGGCAGTGATCCTCCAAAAACTCTTTCACGTTCAGCCCAAAATCCATGGCACGGGGCAAGAAGTCGGGATCGGCATTGACTCGGCCGATGATCTGAGACAGAGAGGAGAGAACAGAGCGTTCCTAAACCACACACTGAACCAACCACTGCTTCCTCTGTAATGACGGAGTAATTTCTCATTAAACACAGAGCCTACAGCAAACTAATGTGGAGAGAGCTGTTATTCTGAGCGTTTACAGCATGAGTCGGGATCGGCATTGACTCGGCCGATGATCTGAGACAGAGAGGAGAGAACAGAGCGTTCCTAAACCACACACTGAACCAACCACTGCTTCCTCTGTAATGACGGAGTAATTTCTCATTAAACACAGAGCCTACAGCAAACTAATGTGGAGAGAGCTGTTATTCTGAGCGTTTACAGCATGCACACACTCACACACACACACACACTCACACTCACACACACTCACACTCACACACAC